CGAGCACTGAGTGCATGCTCGCTTAACGGAATCAGATGACCAGCGAACTCTCCGGAAATGCTGAAGATCCGAACAGGATCAGAAAGATGACTGTATGATTTGAAGAGTAGGGATGAGGTTGGAGTGAAGGGGAGCATGGAGCGAAAAAATTTGCCACGGATAAAACACTTTTGGTTTTGGGCAAGTGGCTGGGGTGGACAGTTACCCGAGGTAGGGCAGGAAGATGATACCGGTCAACTACATATTCGTTCACTCCCCGGCTTCTCTTAATAGTTGAGTTGAACCGTAATCATTATTCTGGAATAAAATGATGTCGCATCATTCAAATCATCAGAATCCATGAGTAAAAACTTACATTAGAGTGAAAGGAACTTAATCTTATCCAGCAACGTGAATTCACCCTGCAACAGCACGATGAACCAGAGTAGATTATGGTGAGAAAGTGATCAAACTCCTGCTGCAGTTCATTGGAGTCTTGCGAGAATAGCTTTGAAGGTCCAAATGGTTGAACAAGTATTTGACGGCATATTGGATATGCTCAGGTTTGCCTCTTCCGCTGAAATCTCCTCCACTTCTTCTCGTCTCCTAAGGGGCGATTGGTGGGTATCGCCAATCCCCTTAGGAATCGAAGGAGCGGTAACCCCAGGAAGGACCCATCCTTATCGATAAAGAAAGGATGTCGCACGTGCCACTGATCGGATGCCCCACGATGAACTCCTTCGCTGTTGCATGATAAAATTTGGGCCGCCCTTCTCCGGTTGAAGGAAGATCAATAATTGAACCAATTGGTCTTAAAGTTGCATAGACTTCATCCTCCGTAATTCCCAAAAGCTGCGCAATGGAATGCAAACTCAACGGTTCCCGCGCCACAGCAATCGTTCCCACTACAAGGCGGTAATTTTCAATCACATTTGGACGAACAGGCGACGATTCCAGCGTATAGGCCCGCCGCAGTATTCGCAGGTACTCCGAATTAAGATCAGTCGGCGCATCCATGAGATTCGGAAGTATCAAACTCCAATTTGAGTGTCGCACCGAGTTCAGTTCGATCGCAGATTTCGCGTATGCGCAGTGAAGCAATAATGGGCAATTCACGACACGCTGAAGTGAAAGTGTCGAGATCCATTTCTGATGGTTCCATGAAGATTCGGAGATGCAGTCTTTAAGCCCCTTGTCCACCATGCGGCGGATTGTGTGAAAAGTCTCACTCTTGTCGATCGTGTTAGTATCTTCGCACAAAATGACATGACCCTTCGATTGAGCTCGACTCCAAGCCCGAATAACCTGTGTCTCTGGACGAGAGCTGACTAACACGGCAAATGAGGAGGGTAGATCATGCAGCTTTAGCACAAGCTCCATTAAACTCTTGAGTGTCATAGGATTCCCACACTCATCTAAGCCATCTAGTATGATAACGAAGCGAATCCTGCCAGAAGGCAGCATTTCTATCACATCGCGCATTGGTTCGATGATCAAAACGCTCATTTGTTTATCCAGTGGGAGACTCTTAACAAAGCCTGAAGATGGCTGCCGAAGGTGTTTGACAAGTGACATCTTGAAGTCTTCGTTGAAGACTGCGAGTTGGTACGCAAGGGTGGAGGGAAAGTGTTCAATGGAATCGAGGCCCGTTCCTGCTTGGTTCTTATCCAGAAGAACGACGCCGCCAGGACAGCCTCGCTGTTGAGGGTGGACGCAACGCTCATACAAATCGCTGTCTTCCCAGTACCCGGAGGCCCACGCAACCAGGTAAATCGATTCTCGGGGATCTTGAGATGCTCCAGCAGCGATGCTTGTATCTGAACCCGCGTCCGTTCGAGACATTCCGACTTGCTCTTAACACACATGTATTCGGCAGCGACTGGCTTGAGTCTCGAAAGTTCAGCTGAAAGTTGAGGAGTTCAACTGCATGTACGGGAAAACATACACTGGACTGACACACGTTCCGTACGAAGTAGAATTAAAGTTGATATTCTTAGCTGGAGAGAACACAATCGATCAAATTCCAAACACTCCAATAACACTAAAGTTGACGAACCTGGAAACGAGAAATAGCATCATTCAGGCAGCTCTTCATGTTACTTATTTGTTGTGTTATGTCAGGCGCTCGGATAGCCCTCGTTAACAGATTTTTTCGCTGGATTGATTCAACTTCCTCTACTCGTTTTTTCAGGGCTCTACAAGAACATGTTAAGATAGGCAGATAGAGTACGACGAGGAACTTACGCATGGAAATCCCATGTTAGATTTCCCAGTTCGGGGGGAATCTCGCCAGTCCATTCCCGGAGGGGCTGAAACACCGAGTCGTGCACTTTTTGGATCACAACATACAACATCTTCATGTCTTCAGCGTTGCCGATGATACTCTGGGTCAAGGTAACAAGATCAGAGGCATTGATGCGATCACCAAAGGAACTCAGGGTCCGTGCCCTACCTCGTAGGTGTTTATCCACGCTAGGAGCGTGTTCGGAATCTGATAAAGATTGGGTATAGGTGCGAGTTTAAGAGCGGTGGCAGAAGTTTGAAGAAGAAGTTTGATGGCTTCCATAATGGGCTTCTTTCGGTCACCATGTGAGCCGGTCGCCGCCGCTGATGATAAAGATTCTATGCATAATAAAGGGCCATCGCCTGTTGACCCTGGCTGCTCAGCAGACACAGCGCCCGTTTCGTACATGGCTTGTGGGTCGGTCCTTGAAGGGGCAGTCTCTTCAGAGGGGAGGTGAGAGTGTGATAGCCGTGAATTATAAGGAGATGACTGCGGGGACGTGGACAGTTTGGCGCGTTGTGTAGTTGATTTGTCTCGATTGGGATTGGGACTTCGCCGCCTTAGGACCCATCTAACAAATCGGTCTCGGAGAGAGGACGGCGGCGTAGGCATAGACGACGGAGAAACTGCATGAGACCCAGCCTCTCCGTCCCGAGTTACCTGGGGATTGGTGATATCGATCCTGGACGCTTGAAATAAGGACCTGGAAGTGTGTAATGGTTGCGGATCATGGAGCGAGAGCTCGGGAGCAGGAGACTTCGCTTTCGAGCGCCAAGAGAAAAATAGCAACGGGTTTTTGCGAGACATCGTAGTAGTGTGGACGACAGCGCAGGGGCGAAAGACGTGCTCAATTCTCCCACATGACGGCAAGAGACAAAAGTCCACCACCTATGATGCACGCTAAATCGAGAGAAGGAAATGAAGCAGCACCGCGGTTGTTGTCTTGTTTGGTTTGCTGCGCATATAAGATCCTTTCCGCTCGCAGGGCACCAGGACAGAGAGTGCCCAGAAAGGCATGGCTTATCCATAGCTGGTCATTGGCGACCGTGACATTAAGAATGTTGTTATGACTAACCCGATATGGATATAGCGCTCGGCGGCTGCACTCGTGTTCTAGCAAGGGACTACAGATGAGACCAAAACTTATCGACAATAGGCATGAAAGCAATAAGTCGTGTGTATGCGCATGTCCGGTGTAAGGGTGAGTATGGGATGCTGCATGTCATGACTTGTGTTCCTACACCAGGAGATCCACAAGGACACACTGCCGCATGGCGCACTGGGTGGTACACAGTATCAGGATACTGTACTAGCATGACCAACAACCGGTAACGCGTAACGCGAGGGTCTTGGATTGAATTGAAAATTAATACAACTGAATTGATTGGCAGCCTCCGGCAACTCCCGGAGGCCGTGGGAACCGGTTGTTGGTCGTGCTAGTACAGTAATTGCTTCGCCCGATATGGACACTCCGGAGGGAGGACGTGTGGATAAAGTTCTGTCGTGGGTGCGGAAGTGCTGTCGACCAGGGTACGAGCTGGGAAGATGAGAAATGGGGTGGGCAGAAGTGAAGGCGCCTATCTTCACTCCCTGATTACCTAGGGGAAGCGAGTCGAGTGGATTGAGAAAGTTTCTAAGTGGACCAAATGTCGAGTGAGCAGTAAAATAGTAGCTTGGGTGGTCCATCTTCCCGAAGACAATAAACGCCCTTAGTACGAGCTCCTTATATCCTGATGCTCGACAATCCACGTGTATCCACACGGAAAGCTGCAATGGTGTTGTCACTGGTGGCCAGGGAATGCACTTTTTGGAAGCAAATTCACCACATACGTATCTTGTCATGTTTTGGCGGTACGCACACGACCCTACATATCTGATCATCCAATACTAGCAACTGAATCGAGCTGAGTTCTTTGCATTCTCGTCTGCGTTATGTTCTGTTGTTGAGAAAACGACATGAGACCCACGTTACGTAATGCATCATGAATAGCGATCCTACCCACATAGATCGGTCATCATTGGTACGAACTTCACCTCAACCCTAATATCTATGTTCGAAAAGGAACGCCATTCCATGAAACGTCCTACTGTGCATCTTCTTTCTTGGCCAGCTGGCCTTTCCGATTCGGCTCGTTCTCGTGCTATCCAACTAGCTGTGCACCGGAGCTTCGCCCAGTGTGTTAAATCATTCTCCTAACGTTTCGGTGTTCTAGCCGTGAATAAAGGCTCGCCGCGTCATGCACTCCTCTCTTTTCCGCCGCAGAAGCAATGAGTTGATTTGAACCGCCGGGTACCCCGACTCGGAGGTGGTACGCATGGGATCGCGGTGGGCCTGACCAAAAAAGCACCATTGCTGCGCCGTCCCAAGCTTCAGCGGCCCGTTCTTGTCTGAGTCACCATCTTTATCCGCATGCCAATCCATGTTTTAACTCGTTCCATATGATCACAATATATTCGACCGCTGGGCTGGAGGTTAGCTTGTTCCATCGCCGTTTGACGACCTCTGCTTCCATCGCCAGAATTCACGCCTCACGGATTGCGACAATTGCATTTCATCGTTTGGTTCGTCTCTCACTTGGCACACTACACGGCACACTACCTCAATCTGTCACGGGATTGGCGTATTAACACGTCCTTTTTCCTCCCTCGCCCTCCGATAGTAGAGCCCATGATTTGAGTACGGATGCAATATATGTTGGACGACTCGGGTGGTATCGAAGGAAGCACTCTCGGTAGCACACTTGCTCTACTGCTCTAATAGGAGTGATTGTCATCGTCAATAATTGCAGTAACACTCAACGGGCTAGCGCTGCTGAGCTTCAAGGACATGCCATACTAGATGATAATACAAAAGTAAACATAGCGATTTCCTCTGATGATTGATGCAATCCGCTAGTCAGTTATTCTCGCTGCTATTTATGGAGGCTATCTATCCTCATGGAGTGGTGTACATGTCTCAGCTTCGTGAAAACTGCAGTTCCTGAGACAACCACAACGCAGACCACGGCGGCAGTACAAAGAAAAAGCTCATGGACATGCTACACAATTTGGCTGATGTCAACAACGATCGGGGCTCTCATACGACCCTGAACCAAAAACCGCGTCCCGTCCTTGCTAGCATGCGGAAAGTAGATGAAATCCTCATCCCCTATCACCCGATCCCCATACCACTCGCGGGGGTAATCATTATTAAGAATGATTGGGTGATATTCAATTGGGAGAATGAGTTTCAACGTGTTGTTGAGCCATAATTCCGGGTTAGGGGTGCCGATCCGCGTTCTATTCAGAGAGTAAGCCTGACGCCGCGCCAGTACCTCCAATGAGTACGTGTGAGGCTGCGACTCCAGCCACAATTTATCCAAGTCGCGCTCCACCGTGAAGTCCCCTATATTATCAATGCCATGCTCCGAGCCGAGAGTGGGGGGCCGCCTGGCCCCACTGATGATGTATGTGCGGGAGGGAATGGGGTGAGAGGTAAAAGTCTCGGAATCTGGTAGGTGATGACTAGCAATGAACTCGCGCGACTTTGTTGACCAAATGAAATCACGGTTTGCATCGCAAGCAACAACGTATCGCCCTCCAGGGGATAGCTCCACTGTGAGACCAACAGGAATTGGTGGGGGACGAGTTGGAACAGCGGTAGGCATGGAACTGGGAGAGGAAAGAACGTGAATGGATGGCTCCCCCGAGAGGTACAGGATCACCACTCTTTCTTGCCAGTTGGGACCAAGATGTCGTGGGAGCCGTACGATAAATGACGCGTCATCCGCTACAGCAGTGACAGGGGGACGATGCCCAGAGGGGAGGGTACCAAACTTCACAAGTTGTCTATTCCAATAATCATAGTGGTTGGTAATCTGACTATCGGGATGCGGACCGTAGTCAAAGGTAAATATGTTTCCCTCATCATCTTCGGTAGCAATCCTATGGCTATCAAGGATAACAATCCACACTAGGGGACTGCGCGAGTCACATTGGAATCGAGTGAGTGTGTGCTGCCGATCAATGTCCACAACCTCAATGTCGCCATTTTCAAAACTGAGTGCGACCTGACGGCCATCTTTTGAGATTGCTGCGGAAGTCACTGTACGAATATCACGATCACGGTATTCAGCTTTATAGTGGATTACCTCCAGACCCTCCCTATCAATCTCCTTTGGTAACCTCCCTAGCTTTGTCTCCATAACCATCCGAGCACTGAGTGCATGCTCGCTCAACGGAATCAAATGACCAGTGAACTCTCCGGAAATGCTGAAATCTGAACAGGATCTGAGAGATGATGATATAGTTTGAAGAGTGGGGATGAGTTCGAAGTAAAGGGAAGCATTGATCGAAAAATGTGCCAAGGATAAAATGTCGTGAGAACCTCAGGCTTGAGAGCGTTCCCTCGATATCGATTATTGACGTATTCATTCGCTCTCTTGGCTTCTCTTAAGAGTTCGGTTGAATTATGATTCTAGAGTGCAACGATGTTATATTTGTAGTTTAAACGAGCAGAATTCCATGAATATAAACCTACGTTGGATCGAAGTAATTCATCCGGCAATGCGAATTTACCGTCCGAGAGCGCAATGAAGATAAGGAGGTTCTGGGTAAGGAAGCGATCAAATGCCTGCTGCAGTTCGTTGGAGTCTTGCAAGAGCAGCTTTGAAGTATTCAAGTGGCTGAACAAGTACTTGACAGCATATTGGACATGTTCCGGTAACTCCCGACCCAGGAATTCCTTCCACCTCTCCTCATCTCCTAAAGGATTATTGATGGCCATCATGTAGTCACGCTCGAAGGTGCCCTCTAGAAATCGAAGGAGTGGCAACCCCAGGGAATACTCATCTGTACCAATAAAGAAAGAAGAATCACCTGCGTCACCAATTGCTTGTCCCGCAATAAGCTCCTTTGCCGTCGCATGATAAAATTTGGGCCGCCCTTGTCCTGTTGAGGGAAGATCTATGATCGAACTGATTGGTCTCAGAGTCGCATAGACCTCTTCCTCCGTAATTTGTAAAAGCTTTGCAATTGAGTACAAACTCAATGGTTCTCGCGCCAAAGCGATCATCCCCACCACAAGGCGGTAATTTTCAATGACACTTGGACGAATGGACAGTGAGTCAGGAAAGTAGGCTCGCCGGAGTATTCGCAGGTACTCCGAATTGAGATCAGTCGGCGCATCGATGAGATCCCGGAAGTATTCGAGCTCTAACCGGAAGGTGGTACCCTGTTCAGTCCGAACGCAGACCTCACGTATGCGCAGCGAAGCTATAACGGGCAATCCGCGGCACGCGGAAGTGAAAGCGTTGAGATCTTCCTCTGATGGTTGCCATGATGATTCGGAGATGCAATCCTTAAGCCCCTTATCTACCATGCGGCGTATTGTGTGAAAAGTCTCGTTCTTGTCGATCTTGTCGGTGTCCTCGCATGGAATGACATGACCCATCGATCGAGCTCGAGCCCAAGCCTGAACAACCTGTGTCTCTGGACGAGAGCTGACCAACATGGCAAATGAGGAGGGCAGATCACGAAGCTGTAGCACGAGTTCCATTAAAGCTCTAAGTGTTCCGGGGTTCCCGCACTCATCCAATCCGTCTAGGATGATAACGAAGCGATTCTTGCCAGAGGATTGCATTTCTATCGCATCGCGCATTGGTTCGACGATCAAAGTGCTCATCTGTTTGAACAGAGGAAGGCTCTTGATAAATCCTAAAGATGGCTGCCGAAGGTGTTTGACGAGCGACGTCTTGAAACCTTCACTGAAGCTTGCAAGTTGGTGCGCAAGGGTGGAAGGAAAGTGTTCAATGGAATCGAGGCCCGTACCCGCTTGATTCTTATCCCAGAAGAACGATGCCGCCAGGGCATCCTGAGCATCGAGGGTAGATGCAATGCTCATAGAAATTGCCGTCTTTCCAGTACCGGGGGGGCCACGCAACCACACGAACCGAGTCTCCGGGGCCTTAAGAGACTCCAGAAGAGAGGCTTGTGTCCGGACCCGTGTCCCTTCAAGACATTCCGACTTGCTCTTGACATATATGTATTCGGCAGCCACTGGCTTGAGTCTCGAAAGTTCGGCTGCAAGTTGTGTCGAATAACGAGTTTCAGTCCGTGGACAGAAAAACATACATTGCACTGACAAACGTTCAGTACGAAGCAGAGTTAAAGTTGATATTCTGAGCTACCGAGAACATGTCAAAGTCCAAACACCTGAGTAGCACTGAAGTTGACAAACCTGGAACTGAGAAACAGCGTCATTTAGACAGTTTTTCATGCCACTTATTTGCTGTGTTATATCTGGCGCTTTAATAGCCCTCATTGGCAGATTTTTGCACTGGACTGATTCGATTTCCTCTAGTTGTTTTCTGAGGGCTCTGCAAGAACATGTTGGAGTGAGCGGATAAGAATGCGACGGGGGCGAGGAACGTTACGCATAAAAATCTCGCGATAGATTTTCCAGTTCGGGGGGAATCTCGCCCGTCCACTCCTGGAGGGGTTGAAGCACCGAATCCCGCACTTGCCGGATCACGATATGCAATTTCTCCATGTCTTCAACGTTGGTGGTGGCACTCTAGGTCGACGGAACAATACCAAAGACGTTGATACGATCCTCATGGAACTCAGGGTACCAGGCATACCTCGTAAATATTAATCCATGCCAGGAGTGTGTTCGGAATCTGATCGAGTTGTGGTATAGGAGCGAATTTAAGGGCGGCGGCAGAAGTTTGAAGGAGAAGTTTAATGGCATTTAGGGTGGTATTCTTTTGGTCGGTCGCCGCCGCCGATCCTGCTTGAGGTGATAAAGACTCTATACGACTCTTGGTCCATCGAGAAATTCGACGCAGAAGGGATGGGGACGCTTCCAAATGATCAGAAGCATCGGGGGAAGGTGGCACGGACGTAAACGGCGGAGAAGCAGCACGAGATCCAACCTCTTCACCAGTGACTCGGATATCAATCTGGGGCACTTGAAGTAAGGTCTTCGAGGTGTGCGACAGTTGCGGATCATTGGAAGAGGGCCCAGGTGCAGGGACCTTTGCCTTCGGACGTCGAGAGGGAGATGGGGATGGGCGTTTGCGAGACATCGCAATAGTGTGGAAGATGGCGCAGAAGGGGAATAATGAAGCCGGGAAGAGGCACTCGATCCCCTCACACAAAAGCCTTGCAAGCTCGACTGATGATATATACGATGGTGAGCAAGGAGCAGACCTTGCACCGAACACGATGCACACTCAATTGAGACAACAGTGGAGTAAGTATAAGGAAAATTAATCCGCTTTCGCTTGACCATGATTAAAATATTACAATTATGAGTAAGATACCAGTGCAAAGATTCGCAACTGCTTTGATCGGGCTCACCACAAACCCCCTGTATTACGAAGTCATAGAGGCTGGAGTCCTGCCTAACCACTACGACATTCAAGGTCGCGGGAGAATGTCGAACGGCATCTACCGACCAGCACGCGCACGATCCTGGGCTTAATCCATTGCGTTCCCGTCTGCGCTGTGTTCTGTCGCTGAAAGGGATAACATAGTATCTGCCAATCGTCTACTTGTGGTGTTCTGTTTAGTATCTCCTCGCGGGTCATCTCCACATGCCAATCTATGTTCTGACTCGTTCCGTGTTGTCTAATCAGCAGCTGGACCGGAGCTAGGTTTGTCGCAACGGGCGACATCGCACGGTTTAACAGCCTCTGTTCTCATAGCCAGAATCTGCAGATATTACACATCCATTCATTGCTGGTTTGGCCGGTTTTTCTTTCTTAGCACTTGGCGCACCTGTTGACGTGTGACCTACCTTTCCAACACCACACGCTTCGGCACCGACTCTATGTCCATCTGCCATGAGTCTAGCGTATCATGGCTTTGTGCCTTCCTCTCTCATTCGAATGAATAGAACTCACAAGTTTTCCAACTCATCCCATGCATCAAGACCGGTGTACTATATTTTGGGTGGTGATGCCAAAGCAGAATCGAAAGCACGCTCGACGGCATGGTTCCTCTAACGCTGTAACAGGGGTGATTGTCATTGTCGATGATCGCAGTAGCACTCACCGAGGGTGGCGGCGTCTATTTGTTGTGGTACAGCTGGGCCTCGGACTTCCCGCAATGCGACTAGAAGAGTACTTCTCCACACCGGTCGATGAGCAAGAGTTATTTGTCATTGAAACGCACCAGTGTTCATCTATCCCGCTTCACAGTGCACCGTGCAACCGCGACCTTCATATATCCAGTGCTCTCATTCTTCTGAAATATACACGTTTCATCCCCGAATAAAGACTTTCCACACTGTCCCCTCTCCACCTGCCCAAATCCGGAAGATCTGAAACGCTAGGTGGTACCAACTCGGAGTCGGTACCCATGCGTTCGCGATGGGTCTAACCAACACTATGGTTGCACCCCGCTCAAGCTTTAGTGGACCGCCCCTGTTCATTCCCTTATGAACCATTTTCACATGCCAATCTATGCTCTGATTCGTTTCATGTGGTCTAATCAACGCCTGGGTCGGAGCTAGGTTTGTCGCATCAGGCGATATCGCAGCCTCCGCTTTCATGGCTAGAATCTGCACACATTAACATCCATTCATTGGTGCGTATCAACGCCCATCCCCACCGATCGTGACGGCTCGCGTAGCCGGTTTTTTCTTTCTTAGCACTTGGTGCACCTGTGATCTACCTTCCCAACACCACACACTTCGGCACTGGCGCTATGTCCATCTGCCACGAGATTAAGGTATCATCATGGCTTTGTGTCTTCCTCCACCACCCAAATGATAAAACTCACAAGTTTTTCAACCCCTCCCATGCATCAAGTACTGGTGTAGTATATTTTGGGCGGTGATGCCGAAGCGGAACTGAAGGCATTCTCAACAGCATGGTCCTCTAATGCCGTAACAGGGGGTGATCGCCATCGTCGATGATTGTAGTAGCACTCAACCAGAGTGGCAGCATCTCTTTTGGCACAGCTGGGCCTCGGACCTCCCACAATGCGACTAGAAAAGTATTTCTCTACTGCGCCGGTCGACGAAGCAGGAGCTATTTGTCCAGCCCAGTGCATTCCTTCCGACGATGATGAAATGCACCAGTGTTCGCAGACACTACTTATCTATCCTGTACGTCTAAAGGTTGTGGTCCCCAACTACAATGCGAACTGTCACCCAGCTAACCAACGAATACAAAGAACGGGAATCATGGACGTGTACAGAGGCCCTAAATGATTTGGCTACTATCAACGACGATTGGGGCTCTCGTGCGGCCCTGAATTAAGAATCGTGTCCCGTCCTTGCTGGCACGAGGGAAGTAGATGAAATCTTTACCTCCCATCACTCGATCCCCATACCATTCATTTCGCCTGTCACGGAGGTTCATACTGAAAAGGATCGGATGATATTCAATTGGGAGAATGAGTTTCAATGTGTCATTGAGCCACAATTTCGGGTTGGGGGCGCCGAGTAACTCTCGATACTCTCGAATGTATGCTAGTCGCCTCGTCAAACTTATTGAAAGTCTGTGAGACAGCAACTCGAGCCACAGTGAATCCAAGTCACCCTCCACCCTGGAATTCTGCATATGAGGGATACTATCCCTCCACGCTAAAATGTCCCCACTGATGATGAATGGGCGGTAGGGTGTTGCACCAGTAACAAAAGTTGCAAAACGTAGGCCTAGGCGATGACTGGCAATGAACTCGCGCGACTCTGTTGACCAAATGAAGGCGTGGTTTGAATCACAAGCGACAACGTATCGTGCTCCTGGAGAGAGTTCAAGTGTGAGGCCGCAAGGAATGGAGGAACAGATCCAGGAGAGGAAAGAAGGTGAATGGATGGCTCCCCCGAAACATACAGGATCGCCACGCTTTCGTACCAGTTGGCCCCAAGATGTCGTGGCAGTCGTATGATGAATGATCCATTGTCTGCCACCATAGTAACAGGCGGATACCACCCACTGGGGAGGGTACCAAGCTTCAGAAATGGCGAACCGGGGTTGAATATGAATATGTTTCCCTCATTGTCTTCAGCAGCAATCCGGTGGCAACCAGTGATGAATTCGATCCACACTATGGGACTGTGTGAGTCGCAATGGGATCGAGTAATGGTGTATTGTTGATCAATGTCAACAACTTCAATGTCACTGTCATCAGCAAACCTGGATGCGGAGGCCTCATAGAGCTCATAGAGCTCTCAGAGCTCTCAGAGCTTCAGTACTTTGAAATTGCAGGTCCCCTTCTCTCAGAGCTCCCCAAAGTAGTCAAAGCTCATAGAGCTATATTTGCACACAGGGGACTATTATCTATATGAGCTCCCTGAGTGTTTAATTTATCCAATAAAAAAATTAAAATTTAAGAGCATTGACTCTGGCATCATGTGATGAGTCACAGCCAAGTCCCTACCATGCAGGAAACTGAACAAACTGAGCTTAACTTTCAGCCCCCAATGCAGCACTACACACCAAGGGTATGTAGCTGGGCTAATATATAGACCAAATTTAGGGAATACATATACAGTTAATCTGAAATTACTTAAGGAAAATGCGGGAAAATGAGTGGAGAAATGGGGGGGAAAATGAGGGGAAATTTGAGGGGGGGAATGGGGGGAAATTGAGGAGGGAATTGGGGGGGGGAATGAGGGGGGAATGAGGGGGGAATGAGGGGGGAATGAAGGGAAATTTGAAGGGGGAATGGGGGGAAATTTGGAGGGGGAATGGGGGGGGAATGAGGGGAAATTTGAAGGGGGAAATTGGGAGGGGAGAATGGGGGAGAATGGGGGGAAAATTGGGGAAAATTGAGGAGGGAATTGAGGGGAAAATTGAGGGGGGAATGGGGGGGGGGGGAATGAGGGGGAAATTGGGAAGGAATGGGGGGGGAATGAGGGGAAATTTGGAGGGGGGAATGGGGGAGAAATGGGGGGGAAATTGAGGTGGGAATTGGGGGGGGGGAATGAGGTGGGGAATGAGGGAAAAAGAAATGGGGGGGGAATGAGGGGAAATTTGAAGGGGGAAATTGGGAGGGGGGAATGGGGGGGGAATGAGGGGAAAATTGAAGGGGGGGATGGGGGGGAAATTGTGGAGGGAATTGGGGGGGAAATTGAGGGGGGGGGATGAAGGGGAAAATGGGAGGAAAATGAGGGGGAACTGGGGGGTTTCTAAAAAGTCAGGGAAAATTAAGGAAATTTCAGAAAATGGGGGACTTTCTAAAAATGGAGAATGTCCAAAAAATCAGAAAATTTGGGATAAGTTAGGGAGAGATATTTCAGGAAATTAGGAATAATTGGAAAAGAAATTAAATCACTTTTTTGATAATTCAATGTGTATTGGAAAGTGCCAAAGTGGGGCAATGTAGCAATGTATGTTTCAGTGTTAGAAAAGTCTCCCACCATGTTTTGGTGAGCCAAATAACCATGGCTTTTTGACCATGGGAAATTTGGTGTCAAAGGCTTGTGTCATATCCGTGCATACCCGACCCCGACCCGACTTCCAGACCTCCACCCTCTTCACCTCCGGAGTCATACCCTACCGCTGCCGTTCCGATACTCACCTCCAGTCCTGGCAACACACCTCCTCTCACCCCCCACGCCACCTCTGCTCCTCCTTCCCTCTCCTCCCCTATCTCCGTCCGCTCCGATATTCCCCTCGGACCGAACGCCGCCCCTCTCGCCACCCTCCTACTACTCCTCCTCCTCCTACTCCGCTCCTCCCCCACAACACCTCCACCCTCCCGTCACCCTCCTATGCTTCTCCCGTCCGCTCCGATACTCACCTTCGGACCTGACAACTCTCCTTTCCGCCACTCCTCCTCCCTTACCTTTCCCTTCTCTCCTCCCTCTGGTACTCCTCCGCCACCCTCCCGCCAAGTTACAACCTTCCACCACTGTCCCGTACTTCGTACTCGGACACTGCTCGTACCTTTGCTCCGAGCCTCCATCATAGTCCCTACCTCGGACTTTGACTCCACCTCGGTCTTAGTCCATTGCATTGGTGACCTCATACTACGTAAACACCATTGCCAATATCCCTCGGACTTTCCACCCCGCCTCCGTAACCTCCGTAAGCTCCGCAACCCCGAGCTTCGCAGATCGCCTTCGGCACTTTCGCCGCTTGTAATGTATTTCTCGCCTTTACCCCCCATCCCTATTTGGACTACTGCTTCTTCCCATTCTAGCCAGTTAGTCATCATCCCCACTTCTCCTCATCCTCCTGCCCCTCTGGGCCTCGCCCTCCCTACCTCCTTTCAGATGTATCACAGGTCCTGCCTTATGACCTTCGGTACCGCTCCGCTTCTTCTACCCTTTGTTCCCGTTCGGACGTCTTCGTTCCGATTCGGTACCCTTTGTTTTCCTTGTGCTTTTGCCCCTCCATTATATATATCGGCGCTTGTACATACTCGTTTTGGTTCAGTCTGAAATCGACCTGAAATGCCCCCTAGAGACTTCCTGCTCACCTACCGTGAAATTAAGGACCAAATGGACAAACAGCAATGGCACAGCGCTCCGCTTGAGTCGCTGAGGCCAAGGTCCCTCCACGCTAAGTCTCCGATTCCACTCCGGAGTCGTCTGTTTCCGCCCGGTTCTAACAGCTTGGATGATACATATCTGAAGAATACATCAGCTTTTTGTTTGCTTTATTGGGTGGTATTTTTAATTTACTTCATTTGGAACACTTTTTTAAAACTGATTTATACATGCATGGTTACATTGCCACACTTTGGTGCTTTCCAATTCACATAGAATCATCAAAATTGGTTGAGTTTTGAGCAAGAAATGAGATGAAAGATAAAGTGCAAATTTTTGAATTTCAGAGTTTTCCTCATATTTTGTAAATAGCAATAAACAAATAAGGTGCTGATTTTAGTAAACACAAAAGGTATATGAGCTTTCAGAGCCATGACAATGGCCATTTTACACACACATATATCCATATTATCTTTGCACTACTGGTGCCAAAATAACTAAGCAGATTTCATGGAGATATGAAGACCATCCATTATTTAAAAACAAAAAGCTCTATGAGCTCTATGAGCTCAGTGAGCTCATAGAGCTCATAGAGCTTTTCAAGTAATGATGCTGGCCATTTAATATGCATTTCCAAAAATGTATATACATATTATCTTTGCACTTCTGCATCCTTAGGAGAACAAAATCATTCAAACATTTAATTTTCTCCACCCAATGTGTAGAGGGTGCACAGCAAAAAGACTCAATTTGCTCACAGAGCTCTGTGAGCTCTGAGAGCTCCCTACCAAGTTTGCTGATGGTTCCCAAAGCCGAGCGCGACGCAAGCACCATCTTTTGAGATTGCTGCCAAAGTTACTATACCATTACGAATACCAGGATTGATAAATTCCGCTTCGTGGTCGGTTGACCCACTCTTTGGTAACCTGCTTAGCTTCGTCTCCATAACGTTTCGAGCTTTGAGCGCATGCTCACTTAATGGAATTAAATGACCAGTGAATTCTCTGTAAATGCTGAAGATACAAACAGGATCCGAGAGATGGTGATAAAATCTGAAAATTGGAGGCGAAAAGGGAAGCACCGATCGAAAAATGTGCCAAGGATCAAATGAATGGCTGCCATCACAAGCACTTGTGTTGCCTACTGAAGAGTGGCGTCCGAGCTGAAAACTGTATTCAAGGATGTATTTGTTCACCCTCTTGGTTTCTCGTAAAAGCTCGATTGAACTGTGGTTCTAGAGTGAAATAATGTTATGCTATTGAGAATCAGCAAACCCAATGAATACTAACTTACATTACATCGAAGTAATTCATCCGGCAACTCGAATTCACTGCACAAGAGTGCCATGAAGGCAAGCAGGTTATGGGTAAGCAAGTGATCAAACTCCCGTTGCAATTCACTGGAGTCTTTCAAGAACAGCTTTGAGGGATCCAAGTGGCTGAATAAGTACTTGACAGCATATCGGATATGTTTGGGTCGCTCCTCCTTCTGGAAGTCCTTCCACTTCTCCTCGTCTCCTAAAGGACCTTCGGTAGGCATTGCTAATTCATTCCGCTCGAAGATACCCCTCAAAAATTGAAGGAGCGGCAACCCCAAGAAATACCCATTTCTATCACTGATAAAGAACGAATGATCACCTGCATCAATTGGTGCTCCCAAAATGAACTCCTTCACCGTTGCATGATAAAAATGGGGTTTCCCCTCTTGTGTTGAAGGAAGATTGACGATGGAACTAATCGGTCTCAGAGTCGCATGGACTTCATCCTCCGTAATTCCGATGAGTTGTCCAATAGAATACACACTCAATGGTTTCCGTGCCGCAGTGATCGTCCCCATTACAAGGCGGTAATTTTCAATTACACTCGGACGGGCAGGTAGCGAGTCAAGAGTATAGGCTCGCCGCAGTATTCGCAGGTACTCAGATTTGAGACCAGTCGGAGCATCCATGAGGTTCCGGAAGTAATTAAACTCGGATTTGAGGGTGGCACCCCGTTCAGTCCGAATGCAGACCTCACGTATGCGCAGTGAAGCTATAACGGGCAATTCACGACATGCCAAAGCAAAGGCATCAAGATCTTTCCCCGACGGTTTCCACAATGATTCGAAGATGCAGTCCTCAAGGCCCTTAACCATGCGGCGTATTGTGAGGAAAGTCTCACCCTTGTCAATCATGTCAATGTCTTCGCATGGAATGACATGACCCATCGATTGAACTCGAGCCCAAGCCCGAATAACCTGCATCTCCGGACGAGAGCTGACCAACACAGCAAATGAGGAGGGCAGGTCATGAAGCTTCAGTACAAGCCTCATTAAAGTCTTAAGTGCCTCAGGATTCCCACACTCATCTAAGCCGTCTAGGATGATAATGAAGCGACCCTCGCCAGAAGGCAATATTCCCATCACATTACACATTGGCTCGATGACCAAAGTGTCCATTTGTTTATCCAGAGGAAGGTTCTTGACAAAGCCTAAATATGGTTGCCGAAGGCGTCTGGCAAGTGACATCTTGAAGTCCTCGTTGAAGACTGCCAGTTGGTGCGCGAGGGTGGAAGGAAAGCGATCAATGGAATCGAGGCCTGTTCCTGCTTGGTTTTTATCCCAGAAGAACGACGCCGCCAGGGTACCCTGACTGTTGAAGGTGGATGCAACACTCGTACAAATTGCGGTCTTCCCAGTACCAGGAGAACCACGCAGCCAGGTGAATCGATTCTCAGAGGCCTTGAGACGCTCCAGTAGAGATGCTTGCATCTGGACCCGCGTCCGTTCAAGGCATTCCGACTTGCTCTTGACATACATGTACTCGGTGGCGACTGGCTTGAGTCTCGAAAGCTCGGCTGATAACCGCGTTGAATAGAATGTTCGAGCCCATGTACGCAAGACATACACTGCACCGACAAACGCTCGGTACGAAGCAGAATTAAAGTCGACATTCTGAGCTGCAGTGAACAGGGTAAATGAAGTCCCAAAGATCTGAATAACACTGAAATTGACAAACCTGGGAGCGATAAATGGAATCATTTAGACAATTCTTCATGTAATTTATTTGTTGTGTGATATCAGACGCTCGAATAGCCCTCTGAAGCAGATTTTTGTGCTGGACTGATCTGATTTCTACTACTTGTTTCTTCAGAGCCCTGTGAGAACATGTTCGAACGAGCGAATAAGAATGCGATGAAGATAGGAAACGTACGCGTGGAAATCTCGTGTTAGATGTTCTAGTTCGGGGGAATCTCTCCGGTCCATTCCCGGAGGGGCTGAAGTACCGAGTCCCGAACTTGCTGGATTACAACATACAACTTCTCCATGTCTTCGACGTTGCTGGCGACACTCTTTTGTCGACATGGAAAAATCAGAAACATCGATAACGTCATCAAAGAACTCAGGTTGCCACACATACCTCGTAGGCTTGAATCCAGGTCAGAAGGGTGGTCGGAATCTGATCGAGATTTGGTATAGGAGCAAACTTAAGAACAGTTGATGAAGTTTGAAGGAGGAGTTTAATGGCACCCATGATGGTCTTCTTTCGGTCTTCATATGAGTCTGTCGCCTCTGCCGATGCCACCGGCGCTGGTAACGACTCTATGGATGATGAATAGCCAACGCCGCTTGTGTCCCCCGGCCGCCCAGGGGACACCGCGCTCTTCTCATGGATGGCATGTGGGTCACGCCTTGAAGGGGTATTGTTAACGTTCTCGAGGGAGAGTGATGGTCGCAAGTTATCAGGGGATAGTTGAAGTGAAGTATCTGCTATAGACTGTTCAGGACCATATGTAGTTGGTCTGTCTCGATTAGGACTCGGGCTTCGCCACCTCGGGACCCATCGAGCAAGTCGACCTCGGAGAGATGAAGACGGCGGCATAGACGTAAACGACGGAGGCGGAGCACGAAATTTAGCCTCTCCGTCCTGAGCTATCTGGGCATCGGCAAGACCAGTTTTGGGCGCTTGAAGTGGGGACCTCGAAGTGTGCAAAGGTTGCGGATCATGGAGAGGGTGGTCGAGAGCAGAAGACTTCGCTTTCGAACGCCGAGAGGAAACCAGGTTATTGTGGGACATCGCAGTATTGCGAACGACAGGAACGGAATAATGAGGCTGGAAATAGGTGCTCAATGCTTTGATCACCCATCATTCACACGCAATTGAGAAGAGGAAATGAACCAGCGGCGCTGCTGTTGTCTTTTCTGGAAACATAAGAATCTATTTGCTGCGGACATTCGACCCTTTCCGCTCCCGGATAGGAATGGCCTAGATAGGCATGGCTTATCCAGTCGCTAGCTAGTCATACTAGAGAATTCACTGGCGGAAAACCAACAATTGCACAGCCGAGCACACGCGGCGGCATAGACTTAAGCGCACTTGCTGTCTTGGGAGGTACAAGCGATCAAGGGTGTGACAATTAGATGAAGGTCCGTTGTATGATGTGTAGGCACGGCGGTGCGGCGGGGACACAAAGGGAGCATCAGATACACAGGACTCAGGAGTGTCGCATGTTTGATCCTAACGTGGGACTCACAAGCTAGTTATAGTTTGAAAGTCCATTCGCCCAAGCTGCAAGGGATAAATCAGGACCAATGCAATGCGGTATCTCGCTGGAACTACTTTGCCGATGAGTATGCGGGCCACATTGTCGACAATTTGAATGGAGTATTTTATTCTCTTCTCACGCTTGGCGCTCAATCACTCCAGAAGACAATGAACGTCTTAGTACCTAAAATTCCACAATACACATGAATTTGAAAATTGTTAGATATACGTACAAAAGCTGCAACATCATTGCCTGCTTCTTAAATAATCTGGACCCGTGGTACACTCTCCAGGAATCGTAATCAACGCTGTGCGAGATTGCGTTTGCAGCTTGCCACTCATTACTACAAGATCGCGATCGAAAGGGGGAACTGAGTGGGCGTGAATGTGCAGATTTGGGGACTGCTCAATTCTGGCAAGTTATCAGGCACCCCCACATTTGAGATCAGATTTGTGTTCTGTCGAACGAAGGGGGTGCCGGAGGAAATTCAGCGAAGCTTCATTGCTAAGACGAATGTCATTCCCGCCCCTGTCCACTTCGACATGGCCCACATTAAGTCGTTGAAGACATGAATTTGAGAGCGAATGCGGTATACATCATTGAATTGGCGGCTCGCTCCGAGAGAATGTCAATATAATTTGCATTCAAGTGTCGCGATACAGGACTGGAGTCCTGCCTCCTCGTACGACAGAAGCAATCGCCTGCGGCCCCTGGCCCAATCCATAAGGCAATGCCAGTTACGCTAGACAGAGCACTATCTGCTCGCAGAGAAGGACGATTGTTCCTTCCTATCGGTGATTGTAAATTGAGAATGCGTTTGTGCCCTGTTTATTCCTTCTATTTATAGAAAACCATAGGATGAGGCCGCAATAGGGCCGGGGTCGGACCAGATGAGTAGACTGCTAAATAGAATTGTCGGCACAAATATATGTAAATACATGTTTTGAGGTTGATCTCCAACACTATTTACACGGACCACTTTCCCTTGCATCAATGTACTATTGACCCATCCAGCCCAGACATCCCAGATGGCTCCCCGCTGTGCCTGTCATGACTGACAAATCCTGGGGCTCCATCAGCAGTGAACCAATGCCGATAGGCGAATCTGCCGACCCAAAACCCATCCTAACCAGCCCCCAACCCGATGTCTGGCCCCCTGCCTTATTGCATGAGACTTGGCCAACAATCAGAACCTAGACCCTGCCGGCATTCCGACCTTACCTCCAGTTCCCGAGCCCTTGGTGCTCCCGGCATTCAGTCCCTCCAGTTCCTATGCCTGCCTTGTCTCCATCTGAACCACACTCATTGCTTCCCACTATGTGGTCACAGCCATGCACCGCTTCCGTGCATTCTGCACCCTCTGCCCACTTCCATGCCCTCTGCCCATCCCTGCACCCTCTGCCCACTTCTGGTTGCCCTTGACACCTCTGGTCAGGCCAACACTCCCACTCCCCTCTGTACCTCTGTTGGCCTTCATGCTGTCCTTGTGTGACAGTACCAACAGATCAACCTCTGTTTGCGGACTCGTGTTGGCACTGCACCAACCCTGCTTATTTGTGGACTTGTATCAGCGCCGCACGCTGACCTCCGCTTTTGTCCTCTGGCCATTTTTGTCACTTGGCAACATACCATTCATTCCTTGCCAAGTGCCTATATTGTTCATCCATTCATTCGCTTAACTTGCCAATATTGGCACTCGATCCATGCACTGATGCACCCCCCACCACCTGCCAATACTGGCACTTGATCCGCTTTTGCTTTGTTTCATTGCCTCCCATTTCCTGGGCTCTTGTCCTTCATTCAGTTTGACAATCCCCGCTTATTTCCGCACTGGACTGCGCCAGACTGACCGGCCCTTCTGTGTTTCCCTCCTGCTATTTATATCCTGTAAATACTTTTGGGGATCTCAGTCTGAAATCAACTAGAGTACCCCCCTATTCTGATCTGAGTCCCTCCTACTGCAAAGGGGGCTTCCCCCCCTCTGAGTCCGTGCTCGCAGAGTCCGTGCTCCTCCTACAGGTCCGCTCCGCTTGCAAGTCTTGTTTGAAGTCTGCTGTAAGTGTCAATCTGTAAATACGGGATCTCCCCCAAATGTCAAGCTCAGGGCACAGCGCTCCACTTGAGTCGCTGAGGCTGCAATCCCACTCTGCTAACCTTGAACAGCGCTTCCGGATGTGCCACATATTTCTGCCCGCATATCCATGTGTGTGCGCTCCAACAGATTTCTGCCAACACCTCCGACCCTGACTCAGACAGAAACCCCATCCGTCTTCAGTCTGTCTTCTGACAGCATTTCTGACTCTGACAGTAATTCCGACTCTGAGAGTATTCCCGTCTCTGACAGTGCCCAGCACACATGCCTGCAGTGGATGCTCTCGGGATCCCCCACAGGGACACCTGGATGGCTGCAGCTGTCTCTGAGGATGACATGGCACCTGTCATGTGACTCAAGCCGCATGTACATAAATGTACCTGAAGTGGGAACCAAAGAAGTAACCTTCTTCTCACCTTTTCCACTTCAGGTAAGTAGTGTAGTTTTCCCTTTTAATAATAATTCACCTTTTCCACTTCAGTATAAGTGGCCAGGGACTGCTGTCCCACATCGGGCCCACCAGCATGCATGCCCACTTCGCACCCCGAGAGGGTCCCTCTGCTGGGCGCTACATCCGGGCCCCCTCCACCCCGGACGCATCCCTGACACATGGTTTGCCTGAATCATTCAGGCGAAAAATTAGGCCATCGACAATTGAGAACTTGGGGAACTCCTCAGGCTTTGCGAGGATTCCTTTCCATGCAATGTGCCTGGAGTAGCCATCTTTCATGCTCATGATGAAGGCTTTGTCCTCTACATGAGGATGTAATTCTGCCAATGGTGGTAGTATATCTTCGAGGGAAAGCTCCCTCCTCCCTTTACAATCATCAGGGGGATCGAGCTTGGATGCCTTGAGATGCCTTGGTCTCCTATTGAGCGAGATGCAGCCAGTGTCAGGGCACACCTGCCTGACCCCACTCCACCCAGTCCGGCCCCACCTGATCCCACTACCCTCACCTGGTGCCCCTCCTTCCTCCCTTCTCTCCTCCCTCCTCTCTTTCCCTTCTTTCTTCTTTCCTTTCTTCCTTCTTCTTTCCTTTTCTACTACACAGATGACTTTCCTTGCATCGATGTACCATTAACCTGGCTGCACAACCGCCTGGACCCGGACACACCAGGTGACACCCTACACACCGGACACTCCTGGGATCTCTTACGGAGATACCCAGGTGGATACGGCTGTGTGCGTAGATGACATGGCACCCCCCACGTGACCTTCAACTGCATGTACATAAACACAGCCTAAGTGGGAACTGAGAAGTAACCTTCTTCTCACACTTCCCACTTTAGGCAAGTAGCTTACATTCCCCCTGTTAATAATAATAACACACTTCCCACTTTAGTCTAAGTGGCCAGGGATGCCCTTTTGTGCCGGGCCTGTTAGTATGCGCACCCATGCTACACCCCATTGGGCCCTCAGTGCCAGGTGACACATCTGGGTGCTCTTGACCCTGGGTCGCTCCCTGACAGCAGAAGAAGGTTTCAACCTTACTTACCCTCCCTACCATGGTGACGCAAGAGCAATATGATGACTTGCTGGCCCGGTTCCAGGAATTGCAGGCCATTGTGGAAAGCCAGGCCCGGAACCGGCCCACATACACACCTGCACCTGCATCTGTGCCCACGCCCACCCTCAGACCACCTAAGGTCGCCCCCCCCCCCCACCCCCTTCTCGGGAGTCAGCGAGGACCTCGACCGCTTCAGGGCTGAGTGCAGAATTTACCTCTACATCTGTGCGGCCGAATTCCCCAGTACCCTCTCCCAAGTCCTGTTTGTCCTCTCTTACATGAAGGAAGGGACTGCAGGGGCATGGGCGACACAATGCACCATGGCACTGTTGGCAGCAGGCTCCCCTACACCCACCATGGATGAGTTCAACACAGAACTTGATGCCATGTTCCAAGACCTGAACTGGGAGGCCACAGCCCAGCAGAAGTTAGCAACTGTCCGACAAGGGAGCGACTCCGTGGACAGAGTCATCCAGGAGTTTGAAATACTGGGACCCATCTCACAGCTAGGAGATGTAGACTG